GTTCTTCTCTTATATTGAATAATCCTTCAATAGCATTGAATGTTCTTCAGACTTTTCATGTAGGATACTCAATTTTCTGTAATTTCTGTAATGTCCCATTTTCTAATATTCAAATCACACTGTGCCTTAGTATGAAAGGAAAAAAAAAATAAACAACACAACCACTACAAAACCCTACAGAAGTCTCAAGGGAGATGTCATACATTTAGATAAATATTGGAAAGAAGAGTGCAAAGTTGATGTCAGTGGCTCCCAGTGACCAGAACAAAGACAATGAAATCTGAAACACAGGAGATTCTGTGTGGACATCAGGAAACATTTCTTTACTATGAGGGGGACCAAGCACAGACACAGGGTGCCCAGAGAGGTTGTGGCATCTCCCTCCTTTGAGGTATTTCAAATCCATCTGGACATGGCTCTGCTCTGTGTTGCTTAACTTGAACCATGGTATTAGACAAAGTGATCTCCAGCAGTCCCTTCCAACCACAACTGTTGTCATTCAATGAAAAGGTTAAATTATTTCAAAAACTTTGTCTAAGGTGAGAAAATCATTCTAAGATTGGTTGAAGATTGACAGAAGGAATCTGTCTGCATTTTAACTCTTCTGATTCAGGTGTTCATGGGCAGCCACCTCTGTCCTACACCTCTAGCTTCCTGTTTTTGACCCCCACACCATCTGCATGTCCGCTGAAGCTGTTCTCCAGAAGCGTTGAGTGTTATTTTGTCTTTGCAGCAGGGGTCAGGTATGTCTATTGTCAGTGCATCTTCCACACAGTACAGAGACAAGACATGCAGAGCATTTATACCCTCTCAATAGCAGCACCCAATAAATATCCTTCAGGCTCATTGCTATGTAATTAGACTCACTATTGCAAACAACAGTTTGATTTCTTTACAGCATCCCTTCATGTTTGGGAAAAGTAAGTAATTTTATATACTACTAGGTTAATGGTATTATCTGTGATTTGAAATGCTCATAATTTTGAGCTTTGTCAAGTTAATATCTTAATAAGGCAGTAACTATAGTACTGGCTGCTGCACCACATTGCATTAATATGATTAGAACTAGATCCTCCTTGCCTTAACCTCACAAGTAATCCCATTGACATCAATTTGTTCCTAAGTATTCTTACTGTGACAGCAGCACTTTGCAGGATCACCTTCAGGGATCACAAGACATATAGGCGCTCTCTGCAGATAACTTAACACAGCAAGCAGAACTGCAGTTTGACATTCATGCCTGGTGATTTTAGTCTTTGAGGCCTCAGATGTTCTGTATGAATTTGTGATTTTTTTCATTTAGACCAAGGAGCCTTTAATGACCCTCTCAAACGTGAACAGGAGAGCGAATAGGAGCAGATAAACTAAATGCTTTTAAAAAATCAACTTCAGTTGTTCCTTACTCTTCCTGTCTGTGCCTACAGTGAATACTGTGGCTAGCGCAACTTCTTGCTGCCCCACAAGTGTAGGATTTTGAGTTTTACTGCATGAGTGTTTTTTCCTAAGTCCTTTTAAAGACTTGCAGCATCACCATTCTGTAAAACTGAGGAGAGTTGACTTCTTCAAAAAACAAATATTCTTTAACTTTCAAAAAATATCAGCAGAATGTGACAGTTTGGAAGAACTATAAAAGAAAGTTACTTTTTTCTCTAGAGAGTTGTTGAGATATTTCCCATAGAACAGTGTTTTAAAGTCACTTATTCTTAACTAGCAGAAATTTGAAGGGATTATGTTTTGTTGGGAGAAGGGGGAGAGCAAAACCTGAACTTCTTTAGTCTTTATTTATCTCAGTTAATTACAGACAGAAAGGAGAACAGGGTTTGCTTCTTCGAAAATCAAAGCATATTTCCACAGTAGCATCTGCATAGAAACCTGGCAAGAGATAAGTGTTCCCAAACCTGAACTTTATTGTACTGAGAGCATGTAAGAAATTTATTTACCGGTTTTTCTGGCCCTATTAAACATCTGTTTTCTATTTCCCTCTGCTTTTCACGTTTTAGTTGTTAAGATGAATCTTTTGCCTTTTGTCTGTCTTTGAGTGTATTGAGAAAAATAGAAGAGAGATGTGTTGCTAGTTTTACAAGCTCATAAAACAAGGTCTTCAGAGCCAATGGAAAAGATTGTTCAGACTTTTAATGTGTTCTGAGTTTTAGGGCTTGAAGGAAGGTAGTGCCCAAGAGGAAAATGTTTATGAATGCAAATACAGACATTTAAATTATTCAGGGGATGTTAGAAGGCTCAGAATGGGTCTCAGTGGCAAGAACTCCCACTGAATTCTGGGGGATTTGGTTCCCAATTTTTATCAGTGTCTGTGGAAATTCTATCTGTAACTATGTGATTTTGCTATTGGGTTGAAAAATTTATGACATGAGAAGAGCACCCCAGAACAGAGGAACTGCTGCAGATTGCAGTCCTAGAGAAGATAACAGTTTGCTGGGGCTGTTGCAGCCAAGATAGAGGAAAGAGATGCAGTGTGCATTCCTTGAATGCCCCTGTGTGCCAGATACCAACTGTGTGAAGAAGGCTGGTCACAATGTGGGAACACAGGCGAATATCCCTGCTCTGCTAACTTAAAAAGTCTGTGAGTCAAAGACAATTCTGCTAACAGCTAAACCAAACGAAATTTCTCTATATTGTATATATACTGTTGCTGGAAGTACAGCTCAGCTTTCCCTATGAAGTTGAAATGGTGTGTTGTTTCCAATAGCACTTGAAGCACCTTCTTTCCACATTCCTTCTCCTCCCTAATATGTTTTGTTTGCTTGTATATAGTCTCTGTTTTGCATTTCAGAAGACACAGTCCAAAAGCACTTTGCCATAAAAAAAAAAATGTTCTCAGAGGTTTTCAGGGATTCCTGGTATTTCTCAGGCTGCTGTGGGAAATTCTTCAATAAATAAGTAGGACAGTAAAATTAGTATTAACAAAACACTCCGAAGGCAACTCCCCCTAGTCACTTCTTAATTTCTAAATAAGTATGTCTTTTTTGCCTCTCTTCATGCATGGATTCATGCACAGTCTGTGTGCTGATGCAGATGAGCAGCACTGACATTGTGTCTTGCGGCCATGCTGGTGATGCCTTTTGTGGGAGTTACTCATGTGGAACAGTGGTTTATGTAATCTCCCCATCCCTGCCCACAGGCTGGGGGAAAAAAGCAGCAATAAGGCAGGGAAGAGATTTATGAATGCTGCGATGTATTTAGGTTTTTGTTGTCACTTTAAGTGACTGCATTTTCTTAATGTGCTACTGGCCTTAACAGCTGAACAAGCAGCAAGAAATGGCACAGGAAGCTCTTATATTCTCTTGTGCCATAAAACCCTATTCTCTTTTTATTGCTTTGACATTATGTCAAACCTATGTCACACTTTTTGACCAACTGAACTTGAATAGTCCATTAGACTATTAGAATTGTCTTTCTTCAATTTTTGTTTTATGTAATTTCACTAACACTGTAACAGATCTGCGTGATGTTTATAGGAAGGTTTATCTCTGTTCCGTGACTTCTTATTTTCACCTGACTGTAGTATCTCCACAGATACCTACTTTTATTTAATTTTCAGCTCTTACCCATGTTTTTACATGCTCTAATTGTGAGTGTACCAGAATTGAGATTGGGGATCCACCTGTGATATTGCCCTAACTTTCTCAATTCTCATCATCCATTCTTCTTTCAATTTTTGCTGTTCAGCTGGATAAAGAGCTTCATGATTTTTTTCCTATGCAAATGGATTTCCTGTTTCAAGGCTTCTCTCTGACCATTTTGCTCTTTGTAGGCTCTAGAAATTGCATGTGTGAATGAACTCTGACATGTAATCAGAAGTCGATCAGAGGAATGTGATGGACATGGTTCTTTTAACTCAGTACTGTCTCAGGGAAAAATTATTCTCAGAAAAAAAAATTATTTGGAGTCCTTTCTTTTTGAGTTTTCCTGAAAATAAACAAAATATTAAGGAGAAATTATCTTCTACTTAACACTCTGGACCACTCATATATGACTTTCTGGTGCCAAAGGTGATTTGCTTAAACACTGATTGATATATCTGTTCCTTTTCTTCCCTTCCTTTTCAGAATTCTGATGGAGCCACAGTAACATCCTTTAAAATCAGTCTGTGACTTTTGTCAAGACCCACAACACTCAGAGTATTGATTAGTGTGTTGATGTTGTACCGACATGTGTCTTTGTGTTAAAATCCCAATTAAAAGTGATGCCATAATAAGAGCAAAATTGAATGAATAAAAATAACTTGCATAAATGCCTATATATGACTCACCAGTAATGACAGCTGAATAATACTTGCAGGTAGATGTGATGACAGAATAACTTTTGAGAGCATAGTAAAATTATCTTGCAGAGAGATACACCATAATAAAGGCCATGGGATCTGAGAAATTAAATCATCATTTCTTGAAGTATTAAAAATAGTTTGCATGGGATAGCAGTAAGTTCAACACAGCTTTTGATCAGGCAAGATGAAAAGTGCTGCTAACCTACAATTATTCTAGAGTTTGAAGCAGATGCTGTGCTTTCCATTGAACCTGAAGGTAAGTTCTAATGCTCCTTACCAATATCTGCTGTCAGTCAAAGGTTTCAGGAATTTCTTTATCCAGTACCCCCTGAAATTTATCTTCGTTGCACACCATTTCATACTCTAGTTCATGTACAAGTTTTTAAACAAGTGGCATTTATCTGTATGTGACAGAAAAGTATGACACACAATGGAGACATCTTGTCATTAAGGGGTAGAACCAGTTTCCATGAGATCTGTTTCTGCTGTGGACTTGTCAGGTCATGACTACAAAATTCAGCCTTTCTATGCATTTTATCCTTAGTAAAAAGGGGATAAAGATACCTTTGATATTTTTCTTGCTTATTTTGGGATGTACTTTTTTAACAATGTGGTTTTCATTGGCAGCTGTAATATTAATGTCATAGAAACAAAATAGTTGAAAATCCAGTCAGGATACAGTACTAGATTTTCTCCTCTCTCTCTCTCCCTCTAGGTTTTTAGAGTGTGGGATATACAGACTCTATCACCACTGCAGGTCTTCTATGAAAGTAATGGAACTCCAGAAGAGATGAATGCCTTTCCTATGGTATTTGACAATGATCATGGCATGCTTTTCACAGGTATGTTATTACAGCTGGTGTGTGAGAGCATGCCCCTTCTCCTAGAATCCAATTTTCTTTATGATTAAAGACAACTGAAGTTGAGTACAGGAGTGGGTTATATGAGAATATACAGAGTACTGGGAGACGAGGGTATTATACATTAAGACTATTTTAAAGTGGGTAATACATGGTGTTAATTTCACTGTTGAAAATGGCATGAAAATATGCAGCACGGGAATTAACAGCAGGAGCCAAAGGAGATGAGAAAGGCTTCTCTGAAGGCAAGATGAGCCTCCCACAGCGAAATTAAACTCAAGACGTTGTTATATAGACTTGTCATTTCTTGAAAACTATTAAGGTATTGATCTCCCCCTAACTATTTCCCTAGGACCCACCTCCTTTTTGGAGATGAAAACATACAGCAGCATGCAATCTCTGTGGAGCCCTCACAAGTATATTCAAACCCTTTATTTAACTCAGTAGCTAAAAACAGACCAACAACCTGAGGTATCAACAGACTCACTGCCCAACTGATTAGGGATAAAATGTTGTGGGAACTGAACCTGAGGTTTCTGTGCTCTGTTTCCTGACTTTGTAGCAGGGACCCTGGCAACTCTGAGGGACCAGAACTTTGCAGTTGTCACTAAGGACGTTAGCCTTTTATATGTAAGGCAGAGGGTCTTTAAATCGGCAGGGTTTGTCTGCCCCAGAGATGTAGTCACAAAAAAGACAGCTATGTTCTGAGCCTATAGAGGCCTGACATGTACCAGGCAAATAAAGTGATTGTCTTTGGAGACAGCTTTTTCTGTCCTTGAATTAGGAACAAGGCACAAAGCTTGTCAGATCTGAGAAGATGAATGTGAAACATTTTGTTTTCAGTGATTTGATGGTCTCTACTGAATTTTTTAATCACTAAAGGATACAGATATTGTCTTCATTTCAAATTTATGCTTGTGAGATTTTCAAGGCTTGGCAGTATCGGGAATTTATACAGGTCAATCCTGGACAAAATGAGGTAATTTGCCCTTATAAACAATGGTTCTGTAAGTACCTAAATATTTCTAAAAGTCTGGTCCTAGAGTCTGTTAATCATTCCATTAAGAGCCTAAGAGAATGTCTCCTTGCCACTGAAGAGGGCAAGAGACTGAGGCTGTATGAGTGAATTCATTCTCATTGCTGTGTACCTGGCTTCACAGAGGAGATTTTCACTTAGTACTTCACTAACGTTCATAAATCACAGCTCACCTTCATGCTTCATTTGAATATTGCCATAGCTTTCCCTCTGTGTCTGTTTCCAAGCTGCTGGCCTTTGTGCCTGGATTTATGCCAAGGATTAGGCATAATGCTCCTTTGCTCTGTACTCACTGCTGTTCCTGTGCTGGTAGGTCAGCAGGGATACCAGGGCAGGGATACTGGAGCTGCAATGGGAGACTGCTTATGCACTCTGGCTTGAGAGTACTGTACTTGTCCTTTCTTTTGTCTTACTGTCTCTGTCTGCCTCTGCCACCTCTGATCTTAGAGTACTGGAAGGTGTTTGGAAAACACCATTCAGAACTGCAGTGCTGTATAACAGAAGGTACTTGAAAGACATCATCATTGCCTGCAGATAGAATTGCTTTATGTCTAAGAAAGCAGAAAGCAGAAACCAGAATTTATTTGAGTGATAGATCTCCCAGTTAGAGTTTTATGTATTTGGGTTCATTCCATTTCATGCCAACCAAGTCTGCGACTGGAGGATTTATGGCTTCTAATTTGCAGTCAGGATGTCAATCTCATCAAAGGTGGGCAGAGAACTGTGTACGACAGGTAACTACTTAGCCATTGTTTGACTTTTTTGGGAACTGTGTGTGAATGTTTTCTGCTTCAGAGAACAGGTATTCTCAAAAAACAGAAAATTCTCCATATCTTCTTCAGAAGAACTCATATGAACCAAATGGTTTACATGAAATCTTTTCATTTCCAGGAAAAGTAATCATGGACAAAATGTATAGATTGTCACTTCTCTCACCTTGTGCAGGTTCAGATGTCATTGATATTTATCCCCTAGCTAATGTGATACAAGATTTAAAAGAGTTGCCTCAGACACATGAGAAGAGCCTAAATGTTGTGCTTTACAACAGAGCTTTTCACCAGATTCTCAGCATTTGCACTGAGTCAATTCTGAAGGTGAGTGTAAGTTGTCACCCTCACCCTTTATATTGAAAAATAAAATTCTCAGCTTTTTTATTTGGAATAAGATATCAGTAATTTGATAAGTTACTAGTAATTTTTATTCAAAGTTGTTTTCGCTCAAAGGTGTTTTTGTGGCTATTTTTGGGGTCCAAAGAAGTGGTAGCCATGAGCCCTATTTGGTTTCAGAAGATCCAACTTTTCTTTTTAACAGTGCTACAGTAATCATAAGAGGTACTGAAAACCTGCAGTTTTCACCAGCTGTTTGTACATTAGATGGCAAAATTTGTAGGGAGAGGTAGCATCTTTTATTGGGTCAGTTGGTGATGCATGGCATTCCATGGAGAAAGGCTTGTGTGTGTAATGGTTTGTTCAGTTTATACTTTGTCTAAAGATGTTATTTGTCACTGTAAACTCTGCCTTCCTTAGACCACAATGGCTGCAACACTATTACTCGCAAGAGAATTCAGAGCACTTGTTGCTACAGAAAATCAGACTACAGTGTGTATGAAATCAGTGGCTACTTGATAAATCCAGTTGAATCTGAGCGATCCCACTACAGTGGCCAAATTTTGTACTGGTGTTTCATTATAAGGTGTTGCTTAAGTTTCTAAAAGTATTCAATAATGATCAGAGACAGTTGTTTCTACATTTTTGGACCAAATGTTTATGAAAAGCTTCATTTGTATATTCTGCACAGAAACTGTAACTCAAACAATTCTTTCTAGTCAAATTTCTTTGCTTTGAAACTGTAAAAAACACTTTCTAATTAATGTCAGTCTCTCTAACTTAACAAGGGTCTTTATCACAGCATACGTAAAACATAGAGCCTCCCCTTGCCTGGGTGGCTTCCCCAGAGAGGGGGACATTTTCAGGGAAAATATACTGTGTTTCAGTACAAAATGTTGCTATTGGCCATAATTTCTCCTATCACAGTAGAACATATTGTGTGACTGGTTTTAGAGGATGTATTAAAAATAACTATCATATTATTTTTTTAGGTCTGGGACGTAGAAACAGGATCTCAAATATATCAAATAGAAGATGCACATGGGCTGAATACTGAGGTGACCTGTGCAGCCATTGAAATAAATGGGGTTTATCTTGCTACTGGGGCATGTGATGGTAAAGCAATTAAATAATTACTACAATTTTTTTTACCTTTACTACTTTTTATTACCCTTTTTTTTTTAATATGGCATAAGCATTAGCAGACAGAAATCTTTGCTGTGACCGTCTCAGTGACAGAATTAATTTTGATTGCACAGCTCTCAGTCTGTAGAAGGGTGGGGTGGGTCTTGGTTGGGTTCTCTTTGATACGTGGTTCACAGAGATGTGATTTTTGGCTGCTTGGGCTCTGGTTCTTTTTTAGCCTATTACTCTTTGAAAGATTGTCTTCAAAGCTCTTGGTCTGACAAGTTGTTTCCTCATAATACTTAGGATCTAGATCTATAACTAAATGGCTGCAGATGAAGAATGGTAGTTCTAAAGTTTTCTACTCTCTAAGCTCAATTTTATAGTGTTGGAAATCATTGAACAGAAGTCATTGAACACTTGAAGATAAAGGCAGAGAGAGAGAGAGATACAGATATAAATGTTTCCTGTATTTTTCATGTCTGGTATTAAGGGTGCATGAGTTTTAGGTAATGTGACCAGACCTTTCCAAAACACAAGTACACATTGAATTGTGCAGGAAGCTTTAATAATTTTAGCATCTGTTAACATGAAAGAATAATTCTTACATTTAAATGTTCAAGAGTACACACCTGAATTTCTAAAATGTGGGAAACTTACGAAAGCTGTCTCTCATGACGAGGAAATTATAGCCTTTTCCACACAACATACTGGCTAATATTCCTTGTTTCTACCTGGGAGCAGAGACTGCACCCTTTATAGATCTTAAGAGCACAGGAGAAGGTGAATGTTGTCAAGTCTTACAAAAGAAAAGTTACACATAATTAATTGCTTTTCTTAAGAAAATTTCGTAGCTTCTTCTCCCCACTAGCTCTCTGGGAAAAATCCAGCAATCGGGTCCCTCTGCTCATTGCTATCGCTCAGAACCCAAAGTCTTCTGCCAGATAGCCCACACTCTGATTGCTCTCTGATAATGTTATTCAGAAACTGTAAGAAGTAAGGTAAGCAGAGATCTTTTATCCTGGGCTGCACAAAAAAAAAGACGTGGAAAAAAGATAGAAAAATTGAGAGGGTAGTGATGTTTTCTGGTAAGTTTTTTTTATCCCTACAGCTGCTTTGCTAAGAAACACACAGTTAGAATTTTTGAAAGACCAGTGACCTAGCTCTTGACCTCAGATTGGATTTTCTTTCTTTCTCTTTTCCCTGTTTGATCCAAATTAAGCTTCTGGATTTGCAGCACAGGTTATTGCTAAAAGTTCATTCCCTTTTCTACATTTTTGTCATTCCTGTGCAGGAACAGTGAAAATCTGGGAGTTTGAAAGTGGGCAAGAAGTTAAAGCCTTGCCTTTAGCACAACACAGCAATGATGAGCATCGAGTGCTGAAGATAGTATATCTGAAGGCTGATGAGGATCAACATGCAGTTATTGTTTTGGAGCAGAGAGGGAAGATAAAAATCATTCAGGTTTTTCAAATATGCTTCTTTCCCCCCCACTAATTTAATTTGGTAGCCCCTCATTTCTGAAGTAAAATAAGACTTTTTTATTAATTAGTAAATAATCTTCTAGAAACTGTCAAGGAACAATCTACTTTTTCAATGTAGTCAACTTAGCTTTTTGCCCTTCTGTCTACTGTTAAAATGTTTATTAGTCCATCACTGGTTTTCAGCATTCTCATAATTTTTTCCTAGAGTTTGCTTATTCATTTGTGATTGAGGTTTCATTAGTTACAGATCCTGTGAGGTAAGGGCTTTAAAATATTGGTATTGTTACTACAGATGGTGTTTAGTCCATAAGAAGAGCTTCTTAAGATAATATTTGTCACAGAAAACAAGCTATATTTTAAGTGTGTATCTAAACAGGATACACACTTGCTATAATTCTTTATGAATAAAGAAATCTTTTCTTTCCTCTTTCATTAAGTCAGTTATTTTAACAGGGTGACTCAGCTCAAACAGATCTATATGTCACATGGGTGCTTTCTGAGATAGTGCCATTTCCACGAAGGAATCCAGTTGTGTATCTGGCCCTGAAGCCTAGCTCCTTAGAAACACAAGATTTTTTTCCAGAGATTCGGCTTCTATGTAACACCAGTTCCATGAGAAATGATACAGAGGTGAGAAACACTTCAAAGTTTCACATAATTTACAGAAGTTTGGAAAGTAAAATGTTTACTGTACTCACAAAGATTTCATGTTTTAGCAATGAAACAAGAACCAAATAATTATTTCCCATTGTGGTCCCTTACAACCTTATAGGTTCTATGATTCTGTGATTACAGACTTTTTAGTACACTGAAATAAATACACGTAATAAATCACGTAAGAAAGTGACTAAGGGCTATGTCTTCCTAGAAGTCCATTGCATGGTTATCACCATAATTAAGGAGTTAGAGTTGCTCTAAACATACACTGCACATTCCTACACAATATAGTGTAAGGTTGAGGTTCTCTCATAAACACCTCTAGAAATGTCTTTCTTCCTATAGCTAGGCTGACCTTTAGTAGTAGTGGCACAGAAAGATCAAACTGAGTATCAGAGTGGTTCCATTTTCTCCTCTTACTGCTTTGGTAAAGTAAAATGTCAAATTTTTGTTTCAATTTATGTTTTGATTTAACTTGAATAGTCCACAAGACTTAAGTCCCGTCTTGTAAAATTTCACTAACTGTGTAACAGATGTGGATGATGTTTATAGAAAAGTCATTATATCTCTGTTTGGTAACTTCTTCCTTTACTTGATTAGAATATCTCCACAGATACCTACTTTTGATTAATCTTTAGCCCTTTACACCTGTTTTCACATGCTCAAATTGCAACTGTGTTGTATAAAGCAGGTCAGGTTGGAGGCCCTTGTCCTCTGGAGCAGGGAGTATCCTAATACTTTCACTCTCTGCTTCCTCTGGTGCTTCTATGTAGCTCAAATACAATAGTATTAAAATAGCATCCCATATGCAGTTGTTGTAGACACTGTCCATTTAGGTATCTTATTAGATTAATTTAAAATATTTCACTATCTGTAGTATTCCACTCTTAGTCCTACTCCATTTTTTCTTTTAATCTTCTTTGTAGACTTTTTTATCTTCTGTGGATATTAAGTGTTTTGATGTTTTAAAAGTAGAAGGATGCAGATTGATAGCAACAGGAAGTGCAAATGGTGAAATAAATTTGTGGGATTTTGAATCTGCCTCTGTGAAATGCCTGTAAGTATTACTTTCATGCCTTTTGATCTCCTGTATGTCCTACAAACTTTTCAAATGGCATACAGGAAATTCCAATATGCCCAAATATAAAGGGTGATTTACAAGCAGGAATTAAAGTAGCAATTTATGTGGGCCCTCCTCCCTCCCACTTCAAATTACTTTACCAGCTAATCTTGACATTAAAGGTAGGAGAAGTGATCAGGAGAGTCATCTGGGGAAGAGATGATGTAATTAAAAATAATGTTTTAACATAACTCAGCACTGCCACTGAAGGAAATTCTCACAATATAAATCACTCTAGTCATTGTGTAGAGGCTGCTACTGAGCTGAGAAACATCCTTATTTTGGAAGTTTTGTGTTTGGGAGGACATTTGGAAGTAATGCTGCTTCAGATGATAATTGCAGATGTTCTACATTATCATATCTCGATCACTGTCCATACCTAGAAGACTAGAAGTCACATTCAATGAGAAGAAACATGATGCGATTTTGGAGGTTTGAGAGTAAAGATCTTTCAGAGAAAGTGACAAAGAGTGAGCATAGGATGGGTCCAGATATTCATATGCCCACTAAGCTGCTACGTCAGTAAACTGAACAATGGCAATATGTCCGGTTACACTGAGTGGAGCAGCATGGCAGTATTCCTGTGTTAGTGAAGGAATACATGTCTTTTAGGACCATACAAAGTCAGTATTTAGTTATCCTACCCACGAGTTTCACTTCATCCTTCATGTATAAAATTGGCAAGTTTGTGAGAAAGTGAGGTGAGTTTTCTGTACCATGGAAAATAATCAAACCTTTACTGCAGTTCAGACTGTGGCTCTTTCTTTATATTTACTCCCCCATATTTGAGTCATACAATTTATATTGAAGCATAGAAGACAGGAAAGTCAATGCTTTGTAAATAGAGTACTTTACCCAGGGTTCACATCACTGTTTGAGTGCCAGGAAAAAGGTACATTGCTAACACTAACTTAGCTAGTTAAGTTACTTCATTTTCTTCTGAAATACTAATCCTCAAGAAAATACTTGGCTGAATGAAATTTTTATCATTCCATCAGATACCTGGTTTTCCTGGCACAGGCACATTCTGTAAGTCCTCTCCACTGACATTAAACCATCATAACTGATTCACTGATTCTGAAAAACTGTCTAAAACTTTAGTCGGCATGCATTCTGGGAAATGAAAAGTTTAAAATTTTTTTAATTACAAGTTAAATGTGAAGCATTTTCTGGAACAATACACAACCTATCTGACATATCCTGTACAAATATCTTTGTTTTCAGGGGTAAAACTACTGAAGACAACCAGGGCTCTGGTGTCAATGCCATATTATTCCTCATACATAGTGTTTCCTCTTCCAGGTAACTGTATTTGATCTTCTTTGGGGACAGGCAAAGTCACTTGGAATTTTGTTGTAGTAATGTTGTAAATGATGTAATGTTTCTCCAAGAATTTGAGAATATGAGATAAAATCTAATTGAATTGAGAATTTATTTTTATTTAATCAATGCAAGTCCATATAGTTAATTAGCTTACCCATTCTTAAACTATCATAATGCTTGTCAAACAATGTGCTATTTTTTCATTCAGTTCTCCGTTTTTCCTCTAAATGATCTCATAAGTCTCAGTTATGTTGAAGAATTCAACAGAACGTACCCTTTGCCCAGTATCAGTTTTCCAGTGTACCATAACTTCTTTTATCTCTGTGAGATAATTGTGTGGCAGCAGGCTTTTTCTTTATTTTAGACCTGATAAAATCCTCCTGCTTTTAGATACTCTCAGCAAAGAGGCAAGCACATCGAAGTAGGCCACAAGTAGCCACAAGATTCCTCTTAAAACAATCTAGAAGCTTCCATAGGTTGGTAGTGTTTCATGAAAAAAAGAATTTTAGCTAAATATGCTCATTTTGAAAGAAAGGCATTGCACCTGCACATCACTTCAGAAACGTTTGTCTTCCAATGGATATGCAAAGGCAATGATAGCCAAAAGGATTCAGTATGGCTTAAATACTTATGCAGCTTTAAGCTTTTAACAACTAGACAGCTTTTTTGCTCTTGTGAACCATTAAGCTGGTTTACAGTCTTATGTTGCTTTAAAATGGCTTATGCTACTTGATGTCAGGGTTACTTAATTGAACATAAATTCTCTTTTTGACATTATAACTTAACAATTAGTTTAAGAAATCCTAGCTAAATAAAAATTGAGTTATTAAAATTCATAAATAGATTTTTTATAAATGATGATAAGCTTTTACTGTTCTTAAACAGGAGGATCATACAGTGACTTGGAAAATCATACAGTCTTAGGATGTTTTGTATTTACTGGGAAGATACCTGGATAAATTTGATCATACAAACAAACAAAAAAATGTTCAAGCATGATAGCAAATCTGTAAAATCAAACACAGAAAATTGCAAATTTATGGCCACCTGACCAAATTTAAATGGACTACCCCAGCCACATACTTTCTAACTGTCCCAGTTATTCAGATACTCTTGCCAAAAACAGAGCAGCCTTGACATTAGTGTGCTATGTGGCAAGAACCACTTATTAACAGTCAGAACATTTCTTGACTCAGAAAAAAAACCGTTGAAGATCACATCCATTTTTTTCCTTCTTTTCTTCCACAATACCTCATTATTGAGAGTTTTCATAACAAATTAGAAAATAAGTTTCTGTAATTAATTGAAAACTATTTGCAGAGAAAGTACTGTATAAAATGAAAGGGAACAAGCCATAGGCATGCAGTTAATTTTTCCTTTTCATGCCTTAAGGATGAATACCAATGTTACTTTACATTTACTATGGATTTCGTTAGCTCAAAACTCCTGCCTGGAGAGGTTGGCAGTGTAATATGCAAATATTGCCTAGTAACTTTAAAAAATATATATAAAATCAATGACCCATAGTTGAATCAGTCTAATCAGTTCATGTACTATTTTATTATACCTTTTTAATGCTGGATGATGTTGATTTCCAGATATCAAATAGTATCTTCAAGAATGTCAGTGATCTTCAATAATTTCTTTCACACAGCAAAAGAAGTGCCATGTCCCCTACTCCTTCTGTGAGGAGTGATGCCAGTGCCATTTCGGAGCAGGGAAGTTCTTTGGACCTGCATGAGGAGGTATGGTGGTTTGATGGATTTGGTAGCATTCAAAACAAATTTCTGTTTTCTTTTCGGTTTTGGTTTTAAAGTACTGTAACGTACTAAAATCCCTCCATGTGCATCTGCAAAACTAAATATTAAGAATTATGAAGAAATTAACTTTATTTAGCTTTGTTAAACTGACTGTGGCAGTGCTTTAAGAATCCTTTGTTAGTCAGCTGGCTTTGTGACACATGGAATAGCTGCCTGTCAAAGTGTTTGGCAGATACTTATCACTAGTAATTCTGACTTTCAAATGGGGATATACAAGGATTCAAGGGGAAGATAAAATAGACAAATCATGAAGTACTTGAATAAAAGCAGAACCACTTCTACATTGCAGCCACACTTGCTCGGAAACACTCTTTCAAATGAAAGGGCTTTTTTTGTTTGGTTTTGTTTGTTTCTTTTTGTGTTTTTTTTTTACCATCATTGTATCAGTATCTCAATCAGTATATTTTTGCTAAGGATAGCATTATGTTTTTTCTGACACTTTTTGCCCTTATATGCCAGAAGGACATGCCATACTTGCCGAGCAATAAAAAGTAAGTAGGCAAAAAGAGGAAAATCCTGCTAACTCTCAGATTCTTACCAGCATGTTGTTTCTGCAGAGCAAGGTACTTAGGTAGATTCCCGAGCAAACACTGGCTTAATTGCCATCTGCAAACTAAAGTACCCAATACACTGTGCTGTGTCCTCATTAGAATAACAAATGGAAAGTGATTTGCAGCTTTAAAAAGATCCCTAGAAGTCCCATACATCAAGCCTTACGTATAAATGTGTAGGATGAGATTTAAGTGACTTATCCTGTTCTGAAATACCTCAAACACTTGCAGCCCGAGTTTTCCCTGCCTTATTTGACTTGGCAATTTCTGAGGTCAGTATACTGATTACTGTCAGCCTTAGGGATCCTCAGAAGCCTGTGAGGCAAGAAAAAAATGAGGATTTGTGAAAATTCTCTTACTGAATATGCAGACATGAGTCAATGTTTGTATATGTATAAATGTATTTATACACTGCGTTAATTTTTGCTCAAGGCAGTAACAAGACTATATGCAGGTTCTGAATTACACTCTCAGAGAGATCTAGGTTACATTCACATGGTTGTAAGTGATTGACTTTGCTTGTCTTAAGAAATTAAGACTATTCAGCCAAATTTACGTTTGACATGCTCCTTAATTCTCATTAATTTAATGATTTGTTAATATGTTGATTCTCTTCAAATAAAATGTTTCTTGTTTATACTCAGTGGAAATTTGAGAAATATTTGAATAATCCAACTGAAAAAAATACGTTTTTAAAATAATTTCAACTAGTGAACTGTTCTGTGTACACCCAAATTCCACTTCCTAATTCTCTTACATTTTATTCCTTTCTTTTAGGAAAATGCAGAAAGTGATGAAATTAATACTGAAATTAAAACAGGTATGGAAAGCAGTTTTCATTCTTTTTGATGCAGATCCATGAGTTCTGCCCAGATTATTGTAGAAACTGAGTTTGTTAGTTTGTCTGACAAACTGTGTTTAGAATAATTGGGTATACCTTTGGTATATGGATGACAGATCTCATCATCTCCTGCTCCCTCCTGATTTGCAGTTATTTCCCAAAAGCCAGGCCAGGATGCAGGATATGCAAGACTTTAATTGCTTTTTTCTCCTAGTAGACATGATAGCACTTTCAGAGCTTAAGAATGTCAACTATGCACACTTTTCTTCTACATAAATATTGAAGCAATGAATTATTGAAATTGTATACGAAGAGCCAACTTGAGTCAAGCATCAGTAAATGACCTCACAAAAGCTTCAAAACTAGGTGAAATTTTAGAAAAAAAATTCTTCATTATGGTATCTGTCTTTAAAAAATCATAATCAAGAGAGCGTAGTGCGTAAGAGTTAAAGCTGTGTAAATGAGTTGGTGAATTTGCAAGAAGTAAATCCTCTAGATTCTTCTGAATCCCTTAGAAATCCTCTCCTGGAAAGCAGAATTTCCCAATAATAAGAAATTTGATCTGCAATATGGATTTAAGATTAATTTATTTGGGAAAGAAAGCACTCCCTAAAACTAGAATATTTGTAAGCCTTGTAGTTGCCCAATGAAGTAGACACTCATGTTAGGTCTTGCATCTGCTGAATGTCTGTGAAGATCCTGCCAGCATCTCCAGCTCTGGGAAAGTCACAGCAGAAACTCAAAAAGGGTCTCTGTGACCCTTTTTTTTTTTTTTTTTTTGCTAAATCTCCTTGCATTTAGCAAAAGTTTTCAGTTGGAGAAATAAGTATAGAAATCTATGATTCCAGAATTATTAAGTGTCATTTAGCTATTAAATTTCATTGCTGAATTCATTGTTATCTCTAGAAGCCTCATGCAGAGATCTGCCTGGTAGCTGTCCTGATGTCCTGCACTCCTCCTCCATTCTCACTTGTGCTTGCAGTTCCTGTAAAATCTATGGCTCTCTTCTAAATAAGGTTCCCCTGCATCATTGAGCAATAGTTCTGGCTGGTTTAGATAAGATAATGAAGATTGTTCCCATTTCTTTTCAGTTGTCTTTATCCATACCTCTAATGTTTTAAAAATAATGCCATCTTGAAAATGCACTTTATTTTCAAATGTCATTCTTTTTCTAGTGTTATGTAATTTCCATGCATTGAAAAGCAATACTAAAACCTTTTGAGAAAATACATGATCATTTGTGTTCCAAAGCAGAAGAAACACCTAGCCGTAAGAACTCCCAAAATCCAGAGATGAGTGTACAGTTGTTGAAGGCTAAAGCAGGACAGTCACCTATACTGGCTTCTGCCCATGAAAGCAGCTGTATCCGCCTATGGAGTATTCAGGTAGCTAACTGAATGTCTTTGGGATGGGACTGGAACATTGAGAAGATAATTCCACGAATCTTTGGAAAATTGCACTCTAACTAGGAATTGCAGCAGCAAGTGCAGATATTTATTGCATCTTTTGGTTATCAGTTTTTTCCATAGACACAAATTAGTTCTGCTTTCGTAACTGCATCAGGGCTTAATGGCAAGTGGAAAGCAAGGAAACATGATTTGAAATAAGTATAACAAACTGACTCTAAATTTATGTGAAAGTCTAGAATTTGATTTTTCACCCACAACATTTACCTTCTAAGAAAGGATGATAGGCAAGACAGAGTGTCCTACTCTCGAAAGAGGATAAATATGTCTGGAAAATTGTACAAGCCAGCTAGCACTAGTAGGGTAACAAGCCAGGAGAGAACAGTGTCCTAACACATGGCATCTACAGCTACTACGGGCTTGAAAAGCCAGTCATGCAGCCAAATGGCACAGGCTTATTTGTCATATCACCTCAGATCTATAAGACTTCCAGACATCATGTTACTCTAAGTAAGATACACAAAGTGACTACAGCAAGAGGGAAAGAACCACTATATGATTGGTTGATTGGTAATATAGGTCATTGTGGCAGACAGTGATCATAAAAAGTCAGCCATGTAAGGCTTTACCAGGAATCCCAGCTAAAACAAGTCATGGGAAGAATTTTTCTGAAAGGTGGTGAGGTAACTTTGCCGATGTTTTATGCAAAAATAGAAAATTATGGTAAATGTATCCAAGTATAGTAGGTATGAGCTTTGTTGAATTTTGTTTTCTTCACAGTTAGTGTGCTTAGATTCCTATAGGAATCTTCAGGTTCGTATACCAGTGGTGTTATCACTGGAATGTTATCATTATTTAAATGGATGACAAAATAAGAATCTCCTTATGAGCAAGACACTCTCCCTCACATCCTCTCAATGCTGAAAAGGCAATAATGGAGAAAATCTACTGGTGCTAACTTGAAAAATAGAACAAATTGGTGAAGGAGACATTTTGGGCCCATTTGCAGCAAAAAACAACATTTCAATGGCAAATGAGGGGCATACTGATGTTATCCCATAGCAAATGAGGGGTAAGTGATGAAGTAGGGGTAGGCACAACTAGACTGACTTGCCCAAAGAATTAAACAGCTTCTCCTTTCAACGTACAAGAGACAGCAATCCAGTAGACTTAGGAATTTACGTTCTTAGCAGCTCTCTGAATAGATATGAACTCAATAATGTTGACTAGATAAAATCAATGGCACTCGAATTCGGATGAATTTATATTTTTAATGTGGGTGTTATAAGATAAATATGTGGAGTTTGTTTGTTTTAGGGAAACTTGATGAAAGAACTTCTGCCATTTTCAGAACATCCCTCAGGTCCTCTGACAGCGCTGTGTACAGACATCTTCACTAAAATTCTTTTGGCAGGCAGTAAAAGTGAGTAAACATGTTAATCATTCTGTTCAGGAGAGTCAGTAGGACAAGACAATATCATGCTGTAAATGTGCCAGAAATGTGGAAACAATGATCCAAGTGCTGCTAGGTTTTTTCTGTCAAAGCTATAATTAAATAAATGTAAAAGGTGTTTTGTTTTATAAAATGATGGTAGATTAAAGCTTAGTGTTATAGTGTTATCAGTAGAATTGTTTTCATAAAAGACACTAAAATTTTCTTCATTCACATGCCCTGAATATACTTTCCATCTAAATTTTGATATTGGTCCCAAGGGCATATTGCTAAGAACAAGCAAACATTTCAGTTCCATGGTAATAATACTAAATAAAAAGTTGCAACTTGGGCTTTACCAAGAGCAGTGATTCAAACACTGAAATGGAGTGCACAATAATGGCACAGCTATATAGGAAAAGCACTTTTCTATGCTAGCAGCTCATTACTAGACTTTTAATTTCACGTGACGTCTGGCTTTCCTTTGGCAGAATTTTCAAAAGTTTATCTGCTCTCTGATTCTTCTTCAAACCATTGGGATCACCCTGGCAATTTTCCATTTCTGTGTCTGACATAATGTGTCACTTTTCTTTTTAAATATATACTTCCAGCTTCCTGCTCTTATGTGGTCAGATATTGGATGGAACAAGGGATTTTTCCCCTTTTGTTTTAAAATTGAGCAATAATTTGACTTTTATACTGAGAATGATATGGAGTTTCCACTCCTCTCTGATTCAAATGTGTAAATGAGTTCAGAAAGGCAACATGCACTGAACAGTATTTCAATTAATTTTGGAAAATATCCGCCCTACTATCTATTAATTTGATACTCTCCCTTTGCCTTTTTGTCTTTGTGTCACTGTGTATTTGCTTTTCATGCTTTCCACACTCTTCTCTTTTATCTACAGTGCTGCTACCAATTTCCTTTTCCCACGACAGATTTTTCATTGTTATGATAAGGTCAGTTTCTCTGCCTGCCTGCTCCCTTGCTTGCAAATGTACAGTCCTAGAAATCAGATGTGACTGGTTTTGAAAGTTGGAATTACACAAACTATCCCTCTGTCTTGTAGTAGAAGTTAAAAGAGGCAACTTCACCAGCAAAGAGGGAGCCTAGGAAACAGAGCAGGTGTGGGTAGTAAGGAAGGTGGTTCTTTGATTCTAGTTTTACATGTGTGCACTAAAAGGTTGTAAAATACTAAGCATTCATTATGTATACAATTAAACTTTGTCCATTTTACCAGGATTGAAAAACAATGTAATCCCCAGGAAGCTCTCATACCTCGGCTGAGCAACAGACAACTGTCTTGATAAGATGACTCTTGTTTCTCACTCTCATAATTTAAAGAAAAAGTTTTACTTTACTTCCATTTCAACCTATCCAGTTAATGACACATTGTTCACAACTAGCATATGTGTTTCTTTGCATATTCATGAACAGTCCATTATTTGTACTCTGAGCTTGCCTGTAAGATAGTTGTATTCACTATAAACTAACTGACCTGTGTTCTCTGCTTCATTCTGCCCAGTGTCTACTGAGAGTAAACGGCACCAACAAGTGAAGGTGTAGAACTGAAGAAACTTACTGATGTTTTGCTTTCTCCTTTCTTAAACAGAGGGATATATTATTCGCTGGAACATGGCTTCATTCTTAGAAGATCCACGAAATAAAAAAAATGTAAAGAATTATCTTTCAGATCTTCTTAACTTGAACAGTATACCCAGACAAATAGAAAAAAAAATGCAGAGCTCTACAGGGATAAAAATGTTTTCTGTATATAAAAATCATGTTTTGTGCTTGAAATAATAACTTGATGCTATGAAAAAAAATAGAAAAGTGTAAGTAGAATGGTGTTAACATTATTTCATTGTGTTCAAAGAATGTATATTAAGAATGAATTTATTCATGTCCCCTGGGTGGTGTTTCTACTACATGCCATTTGCAGGCTGTTTCATGGAGGGATTATTTTTTCATCTCTTCTAATTTTCAGAAAGACACACTAATAAATCCACTAAGCTAGCAGCCATGGTGGGGTACAGAACTGCCTCAAATGTGGTTATGTTGCTTTTTTCCCCTCAGGAGATAAGGGAGGAGCTCTGCTGGAGGGCGCATGCTACTGAAGTGGTTGAATTATTTATAGAAGAGGAGAAAAATGTGATAGTGACAGCATCCATTGATGGTTCAGTCAGGTATAAAATAACTAACACTTCTTACCGCTATGGCAAATCAGTTGAGCTATCTTCAAAGTTCCTTTTCTTGCTGCACTTGTATATAGGCTAGAACTTAAAAAAAAGTAAAATTCTGAGTGCATTTTCTGTTCTGCACCCAAAAGAGCTGGTTTTAATGTAACACTTCTCTGGAAGTCAGATCTTTTGCAGACTGTCATTTTCTTTCAGCCCTTGCTTTACTTTGAACACATAGGTAATGGCTATATCATTTTAAAAATTACCTCCTGTTCTAATCCTATTTTAGCTTTCAATACTTGTTAAATTGACATGGATCCTAAGCATGGCATCTAATCAGTGTGTATACAATTAGACCATGGAAGCTTGAAGACACTTCATAGGCAACTATAGCTCCTTCTTGGCTAACAAGTACATTTGAAGGGGTTTCTTTCGGTTTTCTGGAAGTATAAATAAAAAAATTTTGTGTAGGATCCTGCACTGGTGGCAGCACTTTACCACAGGAACAATTCAGGATTTTGGTACATTTACTTTTCATTTTCATAAATACAAGCATGAACTGGTTTTCTTTCTGTTTTTTACAACAACCTTCTGAATTTTTTTTTCCACTCTCAAATTATTTAAATTATATAAACAATCTCATTGATGTTTTTTATGGCTAGCACACTGAACTCTAGAACAGTGCTGCAGAATTTGATAATGTACACAGATATTATCTCACTTCTGCTCTACTTCTAAAAATATCCATTTTTCTTTTCTGTCCTTTGGCACTGCTTCCACTATGTCTGTAGGCTTTGGCATGCCATGACTGGATACTATTTCGGTTACTTTGGACAAGCCAGGAAGTTTGAATTATCAGATACCAGTCGGTTGATTTTACCTTCTGATGTTAGTAATTTTCCTGCTATAATTAAAGAGGAGAGCAAACATATGGAAAAGAAGGTTAAATATCCTCTCATGCTGGACAGAGACAAGTAAGATCTCATATATTTACATGCATGTATGATTGGGGCATCAGTTTTGAAAATATGCTTTAAAAACACCTTTCATCTGCAGGCCAGAAGAAAATTAGAATTACTATTTTATTCGGAAAAATCTTCCTAAAGATGGTTTTTGACCCAGTATGGATGAATCTTTTCCTTTTTATGATTTGGTGATATTCAGGATTAGGTGATATTCAAGGTTTGAACTTAGCAATAGTGATGACTAGATACTTGTCTCAGCTTTTAGCCTAATTAGAGGTGATATATTATATGTGCTGTTCAGGTTAGCAGCCTGTTACCTTTCAAATTCCTAAAGTTGCTATATTTCTGGATCTCCAAAAATTTACTGAAAAAGCTTAATGTGAATAGTTTCAAGCAAAACTCAAATCCTTCTAAAAGAATAAACCAAATTTAATCTTTCAGTTTAGGAAGTGGTCATCTTAAATTTGTTGGGATGTTATGGATACATTTGCATACATGCGTAGCAGATTCATAGATCATGGCATTCTGAAACTGGCATAAATGTGTGTTCAATAGCAGTGTTGAACTGTTCTTCTAGGTAGAGTTTTTAAGGGATGTGGGTTAGTTACAAGTCAAGTCAGAGAGCCTTGACTCTTTAGTTTAAGTACATATTTCTAGTCCTGGAACTCTCTGGTTCACTAATTAGTGGATTGACCAAGTGAACAGAAATATTAAAGAGGATTAAAGAGGGCATCTTCAAAGGCAATGCACACAATGTCTTAAGTAACAAAGTAATCCAGATAGGGAAAAAAACTATTCAGGAGGCTTAAAAAGTCCTGCATTGTTTAATGGTAAGGTTTCATATACCATGTCGATTCTTAGGCTGCCTTTCAACCAAAGCAATTTGGGACAAGGGAAAATCTCTAAGGTGCTTTACTGTTGCCACATTTAATTTGGTATCCTGCTAATAATTATTATTCCATGAAGTTCTCACTAATATGAGTAGTGTCACTGCAGTCAGAACAGTAACTCATCAATACAGACAAGTGCTTGACTGTTTGAAGGACCCCTGTAGTTCCTCTGAATAGTCAGCAGCCAGTTTGAAACCTCTGGAACCAAAGATACTATCATTGAGTCAGCTAACCTGAAAGAAACTTTCCATAAATTACCTGCCTGTGTCACACTCTGACTACTTTTTGAGGGTTCTTCAAATATTTCAGTAAAGGAGAATGGCTGTCACACATTTAAACACATTAACTAAACAGACAAAGAGCAAGAAAATGAGAAATGCTTAACTGTGTAGAGAGCTGAGGAAAAAAAGCAGCCACACTCTGTGCAATAGAAAGTTTCAGTCTTATCATTCCACCAACTTTGTGTGCTGTCACCTCAAGAGTGACTTGATTCCTCTGGATTAACTGTACCAAATATTGTAGCAGAGAACTAGCCAACCAAAAGGCTGTGTTACTTACGAAGGCTAGGATTTGTTCCTTGCAGGATGCACACAATTGTCAAGTCACTTGCCTTTGTGATGCTAGTATAATTCAGGTATTGGATAACTCATACGATATTCATTACTAAGATAACATTTTAGGATCTCAATTAACAAATCACGTTACAAGTGTTATTAACAGATATATATTCATGGAATCATAGAACCATTGAGGTTGGAAAATATTTCTAAGATCATCGAGTCCAACCATTAACCAAGGACCACCATATTCACTTCTAAACCATATCCCTCAAGTGCTACATCCAGATGCCTTTTGAACACTTTCAGGAGCAGTGACTCCACCACCTCCCTGGGAAGCCTGTGCCCATGCCTGACTACCCTTTCAGCAAACAAATTTTTCCTAATATCTAATCTAAACTTCCCCTGGTGGAGCTTGAGGCCATTTGCTCTTGTCCTGTTGTCATCTGGGAGAAGAGGCCGACCCCCCACCTGGCTACAGCCTCCTTTCAGGCAGTTTTAGAGATAATAAGGTCTCCCCTCAGCCTCCTTTTCTCTAGTCTAAACAACTCCAGCTCTCCCACCTGCTCCTCATAAGATTTGTCCTCTCAATCCTTTACCAGTTCTGTTGCCCTTCCCTGGATACACTCTAGCACCTCAACATCCTTCCTGAATTGAAGGACCCAGAACTGGACACAGCACTTGAAGTGTCCCTTACCAGTGCCAATAAAGGGGGACAATTACCCATAGTCCTGCTTGCCACACTATTTTTATATCACTGATTGAATATCCCGGAATATTCTGAGTTGGAAGGGACCCACAAGAATCATCAAGTCCAGTTCCAAAGTGAATGAATACAGGCATCAAGCCCACGACTTTAGCATTATGAGCACCATGCTCTACCAACTGAGCTAGTGACTATGTGCTATTGCCCTCCTTGGCCACCTGGGCACACACTGGCTCAGCCACTGTCAACCAGCACCTCCAGGCCCTTTTCCACGAGGCAACTTCCCAGCCACTCTGCCCCCAGCCTGTAGTGCTATCAGGGGTTGTTGTGACCCAAGGGCAGGACCTGGCACCTGGCCTTGTTGAATTTCATACTGCTGGCCTTAGCCCATTGGTCCAGCCTATCCAGGTCCCTCTGCAGAGGTTTCCCACTGTCCAGCAGATCAACATTTCCATCCAACTTACTGTGTTCTGTTAACTTACTGAGGGTGCACTCGATCTTCACTTCCAGATCATCAACAAAGATATTAAATAGAACTGGCCCATCAGTAAGCTCTGGAGAACACCACTTGTGACTGGATGCCAGCTGGAATTAACTCCACTCATGACCACTCTCTGAGCCTGGCCATCCAGTCATTTTTTACCCAGCAAACAATGCACCTGGCCAATCCATGACCAGTCGGCTTCTCCAGGAGAAAACTGTGGGAAAGTGTTCCCCAAATGTGCATGTACTGGAAAAGGCACAAACCCATTTGAACAGCACAAGTGCTTACAGTTTAAACAAGCATCTCAGGAGAGCTATTGAAAAATGCCAGCAGGTAGATAGAACTGTGTAGAAGACTGGTCTCAGTTTCTCCCTGTAGTTCCTTAGCTGGTGTGACCTGACTTATTTTTCTGATTATAAAGGCAACTGTTAATCTGTGCTAACAGACACTCTAGAGAATTTCTTCTCATGACTAACTTTGGAAACCAGACATATGAGCAGAGGACACCTCTGTTATGAAAGTCACATTCAGGTGTTCTAGTCAGAACTTCAGGAAGTGCTGAAAAGCCATTATCAGTGAGTAAGTACATGTCTTTTGTAAATTGTGTTTATGTTAAGATTTCCTGCCTTCTACATGTGACAGCCATACCTGGATTGACAAGTATTAGTAAACCACTCTATGAAGGTCCTAATATAAATTACATTTTGAAGATATGTGAAATCATTTATACTTAAAAATAATTTCCTTTTGGAGCCATATAAGAATATTGTTTTCATAACTGTCATTTTGATAGGAACTTCAGATTTTTTGTCTTCTCCATACAGGTGGAAGTCACTGACCAGATTACCTTCAGATTTAGAAAAGGCTGGACATGGGGAAGCAGCTCACGGCTTCAAGTATTTTAAAGCTCTGGCTTCTGAAAAGGTAGCTTATGTATATGACAAATTTATCTTCTGTGCAACGTATAGGAAATAAAATTATATTTCTCATTTAAAAATTATCTGTAAATAACCCTACGTATCTTTCTCATTCAATGGACAAGCTAGAAAAAAAATGCAAAAACAGGGATCTAAGAAATGTCTGTGGTTTTCATTCTCATTTTTCACATTTTAAAATTTCCGTTTAGAAGGTAGCACAAACTGATCCACTGTTTTAAACATGTAAAAGAAACCCTAGAATTTTTCTCAGCTTCAAAGGGAAACCTAAATATCTTAAGTTTACTTGAAGGATGTGTGAAAATACTAGGATAACAGTGACTCCCTGGTTGCATACAATAGTTCTTTCAGGGTTCCTACGAAATCAGAAGCCAGGAGAATTAGATTTCATTACATACATTTCCTACTACTCTAATTGAATATCAGTGGAGCTCTTCCATCATTACCTGCCTTTAACCTTAAAAGTCATTGCAGTTGTAGTAAGAATGTCTTCATTACCTTTTGTCTTCAGCTACTAATGCATTTATTTTTGCTTCCCTTGGTCAGTTCCAAACTTTGGAAACTTTTGAGTTTGTAAGCAAAGAGGCTGGTGCAATATTTGGTTTTCTTCCTATATATGAGGTAAGCACAAGTGTTTTCTACCCTTTGTGGTGGCATTCATACATCACCATGAGCACTTGTATGTTATTCCAGTGACATACTCTGACATTCTGCTGTTAATTGTCTGCTTGTCAATTTAATTTTCTACCATGATTTGCATTACTACCTATCCAACTTCGGTGGAAGCTTGAGAATCCGATTGAAGTGAGCATGCCAAAAAGTGAGTACTGCAGATATTTACACCTCCTGTTCAACCTCATGTCATTAATGTTTTGCTCAGACTCAATTCTTTTAACCAGCCCCAAATCTATTGATTCCCATCTGCCCAAAGCTTTGGGTATTGTAAGATAGTAATATTTTATGGGTATTAATGATCTGATCTATTGCAAGCTGTCTAGCAAAGCTTCCTAGGTTTTTCTTCTATGGAGCAAGATCCAAATATTCCACAGGCTTGTCTATCCCACATGTCATAGGAGGAAACGAATCACCCCTAGCAAAGGTGCTGATTCCCTTCTGTAGAGGGTACCTAGAGAACTAACTTGGATAAGAATTGGATCCCAGATGGCTGGTTAGGGATTAATAGGATACTCTGCATTCCAATATATATGACCTAACCCTTGTACATGCAGCATTACAGCATGTCAGAAAAAAACTCAGGAGCCATAGTTGGCTATGCTACTTTTTACATATTTACATTACGTATGCTATTGTTCTGACCATTAATGTACTTTGGAATTCTGTGTTTTGTTTTCTTCCTGAAAAAGAAAATAAAATACAGAGGTTCCTGTGCCTTGGGAAATTAGGAGCAACTACTCTGAAGCCAATGGCACTGCAATGGATTTACAACAAAATTAAATCAGACATTTTCTGTAAGCTATGTGCACAAGAACATATTTTTTGTCTGTGGTGTTAGAAAATGCTATCAATCTGGTATATTCACCTCGGTATGTTAATTACTTCATGAAACTTTTTAAAGGTCTCCAAAGGATCAAAGCTGAGAAGTCCAGTCACAAGGGACGGGAAAAGGATCCAGATTCCATTGAAGAATTGAGTCAAGACAAATAAATGTAGTTTGCATCTTCATTAAAGTGGATTAGCAGATTTCTTTTGCTATTTTTTCTCTGTTTTTCTTTTCTTTTTTTACATTTAAATCTATTTCATGATTAAGTGGAACATAGAGAAAACAAATCTTTATGATTTTAACTAGATATTGAAAAGCCCATTTGATTTAATGTATATTTGCTAACAGTTACTCTCTATGGCAAAATCACTGATTTCCTCTCTTCTTCATTTGTCCAGTTTGAGCTTCTGAATATTTTTTTCCTACCAGATTAATCATAAAGTCAACAAAGAGTTAATATGCCCTGCTGTTTTTGCCTGTTCATTTCTTGCTTACACTTTCAAAGAGTGTGTTCATCCTCTAAACCAGAAAAGTGCCTGCTGAGCTCATGTTCAATTAATTATCCATCATGATGCCACCAATCTTTTCTTGCATTTCAGCATTCCAAGACACTGTCACAACATGACACAGAGCACAGAACATATTTTCATCCTTTGTCTAAACATACAAATCGTGCCAAGTGTCTCACCTTAGTGAGTAGTTAGAATAATGCATATAACTAGTGATATTATTACCTAGTATTTTGGGGAAAATAGCAGGTTTTCTATATCATTGGTATTGAATGGTGTTTGATCCACTGGCCTTCTTGAAAAGACATTTTTCTCACAAACTGAATATACAATGACTTGCAATTATTTACCTGCCCTTGACTTGTTACAACGCTATGATGGATTTAAGGATAACTGCAAAATATTTTGTGGGAGTATATTTAAAATTCTTATCATCAGCTGTACTGGATCTGGCAGGGATTAATGCAATTTTGTCCTTAGCCGCCTGTATGGTGCTGTGTCCTGGATTAGTAAATAAAACAGTGTTGATAACACACCAGTGTTTTGGCTATTGCTGAGCAATGCCAGCACAACAAGGTGCTTTTTTTCCCACACCCAGTGAGTAAGCTGGGAAGGGACACATCCGAGATAGCTGACCTGAACTGACCAGAAATTTTGCATACCATATAACATCCTCATGGAATGGGGGAGGGAACCAAGACGTTCATGGTGATAGTGTTTGTATTCCCGAGTAACCATTCATTATGTGTGCTGAGGCCCTGTTTCCCAGGAAGTAGCTAAACAAACATCTGCCTGCTGGTGGTAAGCAGTTCCTTGTTTTGCTTTGCTTGTGCATGCAGCTTTGCTTCATCACCTATTAAACTGTCTTCACTGTGGCCCAAGAATTTTCTCACTTTTGCTCTTCCACATCTCTTCCCCATACCACTGGAAGAAGTAAGGAAGCAAGAAACTGGGCAGACACTTGGTGCCTGCCAGGGTCACCCCACCACATTAGCCAACTTTGTGATCAAAACTCAAATCAGACTTGTCTGACAAACCAAGCGGCACCAGATGAAGTGTGGTCTGCCGTTTACTTCTTGTGTTCATTTCATCTGACCCATGATTTAGCAGTTGGCATATGAAAGGTAACATTCTTGCAATTCTTTGTCCTGTATCATTTTGAAAGCTACATAAAGTCTCTTTCAGCTACCTGAAAATTGCATAGTCTTCAAAGATTATTAAACATGCACAGTTCAGGTTCAGAGAGATCCTTACCCATTTATTTTGATGCTCCTCTGTGTTATGTTTTATCATATGTAATGTAGTATTTTCTCTTTGGCATTTTCCCTACTAATAGTCAGGCCTAAATTATTTTACTGTGGTTGTAAGATGCAGATATCCCACTTCTCTTCAGTTTATTAACTGATTATTTACTGCCTCAAAACTGACCATTTACTCGATATTTTCTTTTTACCAAACTTTTAGCAGTGTAAGGATTTCATATGTTCTTAATTTTCAAATGGTACCCTTTTCAGTCTTGCTTCCTTCTCCCTTTGGTTTTCTTTATAATTTGCTTGTGATTTCTAGGAGCTGACTTGTAGTCATGGCTGTTCATGCCACTATATTCTCCACTGTGCAGAAACTATCTATAATGTAGTACTATTCCCAGTAACAATCAAGTGTTTAATCCTATGATGAATGAAATCAATAGACAAGCTCTCAGGAGGGAATCATGTTGTAAAGAAAACTGTCAAAAATGCACATGTGCTGTCTTTATCAGCTTTCCACCCAGTCACCATCTTACTGTTATACTGTTTAAAGTGTGTCAAAATTACAGTGCTGTAAGTGCTATCAGATCTTTTTTTCCTAATTCATTATATTAAAAAAACCCAAAATAGATCAGACTGCATATCATTGCTCAGAATTACTGTTTACTTCCAAACCCTTTATGAGCACCAAATGGAAACTGGTCCTGGCTCCAAACATTTTATGCAATGACATTATCCAACTGTCTTTCTTAAGTGTCAAACGAAAAGCAGAGACATTTAATTTCTTTGAACAGATAATCCACTAAGGCATTGCAGAAAATTTATTAGAAGAAGATTAGTTGTTTATCGTGTGCTTCAAAAACAGAGGATGAGACTGCAAAGAAATTAAGGACAGGTAAGCGATACTTGCACCCACTCATCTTACAGCAGTCTTTTCAATGCTGGGTCTAGTACAAAGCTGTGTGTTAATGGATTTGTTGGTATTAACTGTGGATTTCCTCTGTGTTGATGCACTCCTTTGCATCAGCAATCAATGATTTCTTTCTACCAGCATCCACAATTATATTGCAGGATTAAATGTTCCAGGTGAATGAATTGTTTGATTGTTCCAGATCACTATTAAGGAAAAGTATCTTAACAAGACAGCCTCTTTCAGCATGACAGAAGTTTGTGCTTGTACTGGCTGCAGTAGTTAGTTTGCCAGAATTTCATTACAGCCTTTGCCAGTGCTTTACAAAATCTGTGACGCTCTTCAGCTGCCCTCACCCACTGGGGCAGTTCAAGCTGAATGGCATCAATGGTGCCAGAACTACGGGAGCCAAAAGTCTTTGTTATGTACCCACCACTATAATAGTTTCCATTATTTGGGCTAGGATTGGATGGAGAAGGCACACAAACATAACTCTTCTTTTGTTCCTCGATGTATTTACCCAAACTTCTGTTCCCTGCAACCAAAGTCTCAGAAGACACATTGACCAGCTGACTGGCCAGATGGCTAATTGAGGAATTCAGTGCAGAAAAAACACCTGAGTTAAGGGAAGTTTTTGAAAGTGTGTAACCTAGTTCTATCCACCTTTCAGGATGTGCTTGTCCATGGATATCCAGAATTAGGCCCCTTGACATCTGTGATTTTGCAGTGGTCAAAAATCCCATATAGTCCTCCCAGGCCTGTTCTGCTTGGGGAATTCCAAAGCAGGCTTCTTCCTTTTCCCTGTTAGCATCCATCTTGAACCTCTGTAGGTGGTTTATGATGATATGTGGAAAAAAGCCACCAGTAATGCTGTTGATTTCTTCAGCAAGAGCCTGAGCCACCTCTATAGTATACCTGTCTTGGTTGGTAGACACTTTACATTTCTTGGAATTTTGAATACTTCCAGGAGGACAGTCATGAGAGAAAATACAAGAGGATGTCTTCTCATCCCAACAGGCAGCCTCTCGATCAGGGATGTCTTTAGGTTCCAATGACCCACCATGTGGGACAGAGAGAATGAGGTTCATGTTGCCCACTTGATATTCTGTGAAATTATTATGACCAAATATAACATCTTTGGTGCCAGTGACTTTTAAAAACAAAGGTAAAATGGAAAGGAGGAATAAATACATATTTTTCATTTGCTGCTGGAAAACTCAGCAATATGGAATATATCAGTACCTACAAAAAAAGCAAAAAATAGACTGTAGATTACTTACAGCTGGGAGCCCATGAGACTGTTCAGCTGCTACTGGCATAGTTAGTTAATGATTAACCTATTTTAGTTTTATTCCATGTAGCACAAAGAACACTTATATGAGAAACAGAAATTAACACGGCACTTAAATATGGCTAGATGTAATATATGCAAAGGAAATGGTAGATTACTGGTCTTCCCCCATTTCTCTAGAAAGCACAAACAATATTTGACCACCCTATCTGATTCCAGAGAATCATCCCAGAAAAATATCTGATTTTTTTTTAATGAAAGCCTCTCTTTTTTTCATCTCTGAAATGTAAGAAAATTCTAAAAAAAAATGATAAAACATCTGTATGTCATTGACCTGTATGAAATATCTTTGTGATATAAACTAGAGGCTATGTCAGTCCAGACCAGCACTTGCATGAACAGGCTTGTGTAAAATAATGAGACTGATAAAAATTGAGTGCTACAAAGTTCTAACTATGTTCCAGACTGAGTTACTTTAACACCTTTATAGATAGGTACGAGTGAGTGCATTAAGTAGTGGCTTTGTTCTCTTTAGTTTGCAAGTCTCCATTCTCTTCAAGTGACCTAAGATATTTTAAAGTCCTCGCTAATTATGTCATTTTTTGGAAAGCTGGAATTTAACAAGATGCTGACAGGCCTTTCTGGTTTGAAGGTATCTCTAGCAAGATCAGTGTCTTGAATATAACTGTATCCAGTAGCTGTAACATGAACCTGTAAAGTCAGTGAAAAGCAGAATAAAAAAGGATACTTTTCACTTCTGAGAGTAAAAGAAAAAAACCTCATTAAAGGCCAGTTGAGGAGTATTTAGACATTTGCAGATGAATCGGGGTACCCTGTTGTCTGGTCTCACCCCTATCATTACAGCACCTGCAGAAATACAGAGGATAGGACAGACAAAGGAACGAGTAAGAAAGATCAGCACGAATCTATCCCCAACTTCTGGCCTGAGAGTATGTATGACAGCAGCCAGTAATACTGAGAGGGCAGCAGGCACTATGGAAGCGCCCGCCATCAGCTGCCTCCTCTAAGAAAGGGAGAAGGCAACTTCACCCAAATAACGCAGCAAAATATTCTTCTCCTGCTATGAGGGAGTGCTGCTGGATCTTTAGAGATAATCTCTCCTGCCCACTGCACTGCACTCTGAGGAGCCTGTACGTGAAAAATAAACATCTGTCTTCCACTCTTCTTTTTGGGCTGAAAGTCCCATAAAAGTCTGTGAGCTGGAATCAGATTTTGGAGAATCTCATCTACAGTTTTTCTGTTCATGACAAAATATTTTTTTGTTTCATTTTAAGCTTTTATTTAAGAGGTCCTTTTCGTTGAGCTACTGGTTTAAACAAGATTTTATCCAAGGCCCTGTATGGTTCATGTTTCTGTAGACTTTCCTGAAAAACAGATGTTCACCTGCTAGTTCACTGTGTGGTACCAGAAACACCAAGGAAAGGAAAGCTGTCAAACATTATTCAAAATCCCTCTTCTCAGAAAAATAGACTACACATGCAGAATGTGTAAGTCTGGGAACAGCTTACCTGAGGTGCAAGGGGGTCCAGCACCAATCTAAATAACTCGACACAACGCCCCCGAGGCTGCTCACCTGCTCCAGAAGGACTCGTGTTTCTTCAGTCTCAGGCTCTTTTAAATACGATGACACAGCTGTTCCCTTCCCACAGCATGGCAAGCTGTTTGTGGTTATTGGCAGCAGTTTGTCTTTCTGCAATTTCTTGTTAATTAATAAACCAAGCTATTAATGCTACTAGATCATGCCCTTAATAACATATGGAGAGAGAACTCTGTATAATTCCCAAACTGAAGAAAGTCACCTTGGCACAGCTCAAGTTCTGGACAGACTTGGAGAGTCTGGAGACACCTGTGTTATTGTGAGGTCAAAAACAAATCAAGAGTAATTTAAAGTGATAGTAATGACTGCAGGACTAGTTTGAAGATTTATCTACAAATTAAGAGAATTTTTCCTACCTCTTCGAAAGCGAAACTGAACTTCCCCTTGAACTCGGCTGCAGATGTCCCAAGAAGCCTCTAGGGGCCAGGCTGAGCCAGGCAGCTACAAGGAACAGAGGCTTCCACAGCACCCGGATGTATGATTTCACAACGACAGATCACAAGGGAAAAATATGCACTGAGATACTACAGTTTAACATGTTTTTTGTTTTTTTTTTCCTCTATACTGACATTACATTTCCAGAGATAAAAAAAACTTGCCACAAGTAGCACAGCCACACTTAAGTTCAGAATAGCTACTAAACTAACATAATCACAGATAACCATATCAAAACTATGTTAACTAGATAATCTAGGTTTTTAATAACTTTATTAACACTAATCATATAATATTTTCCTGATAAATGAGGATCTTTTAAAAACATTTCCTCTGTTACTATATATAGTTTAAGGATGTCATTCTCTAAAGTTCTCTCAAGTGTGTACAGCTGTTTATGAATTTGCTTGTGGTATTAAAGTCTGACTTCTTAGCTAAGCTAAAAAAGGCTTTAAAAATATATAATCCATAAATAGAAATTTCAATAAAAGGGAGATAAAGGGTGCAGTGAATGTAATAGTGCCACCTATCAGAGAGAAACCAAATTTCTTTTCTAAGAAATTGATTAAATAGTCCAACTAACATCCAAACCAACTTTTTGAGATAAAAGTGATAAACTTCTTCAGCAGTGAAAACAATATAGTAGCAGTAATAAGAAATTCACTGAATTTTGGAAAAATTAGTGTAAACCGGACACCCAATCTATTAATATCACCAAAGCTGATGGTCTGATTGTGAGCTTCAGCAAAGGGCCAGTTTTCATTCTGCGTATATTAACCTACTGTATGAAGACACTTCCAGCTGTGCCAGACAGTGCACCGAAGGAAGTTTAGTAAAAATCTGTAAGATGTCCTTGCCCATTGTTGTCCACAGTAGGGACAAATTTAATTTTGCTTTAGTTTTCTGTGTAAAGTTAGACATTTACATCAGACAGTGATCCCATTTCCTCTCTTTAGGAGAGCTGTGTTGAGAAACAAGCAGTTCTAGAGGTACTTTAGTGTTTTTATCTTGGACATCTATCTCAAATTTCTATTAGAAGTCAACAGGGACTCAGAATAGCTCTTCTGGATTTTTTATTACATGACAGAAAGCAGTTGCAAAGAAAACAAAATGTTTCTGCTGTACTTTCTACTTCGAGATCTCTTTAAAATATATTCTGCAAGTCATTATTACAAAACTGCTCGGGAAAGAAAAAACCCACAGCACAGGTTTGGCATAGTAATTTCTAGTCTTACCAGCTCTCCTGATACAGGAGTTACTTGTGAAAGAAAAGAATTCTCTACATTACTACAAGTCTTGTAACGCACAATAATGCTGCTTCCCTGTTTCATCTGGTACCTATGGGAAATAAAACTGAAATACTACGGTATTCTTCAAAGGAATAACTCACTAAAATG